TTCCTTCTTTCCTTCTTTCCTTCTTTCCTTCTTTCTTTCTTTTTTTAAAGATTATTTACTTATGCGTACAGAACAGGCCAGAGGAGTAGGGGCAGTGAGAGGATTCAACAGAGACAGAGTGGGGAGCAAAACAGGCAGAGTGATGAAGTACACTGCTGAGGGGAGTAGCGGGGAGGCAGGAGAGGCCTGCCATGCCATGTGGATCACCTCTGGGGCTGGGGATCGAACTCACACTGGCTATGGCTCGCTTGTAGTGCTGCAATTTAACTGTTGTGCCACCAGGGAGGGCCCCTAGACCTCCATTTCTAATGAACAATAAACCTTAAAAAATGACATTTCTCTAAGATAGTGAAGTACTTCTGCCTTGTGATTTCAGTGTGTGTTCTCACTAAGCAGCTTTGCCTGTTTCCCCCCTTTTCAAACAGAAAGTGGTCTTCTGCTCTGTTAAAGAAGCACTGGAAGTGGACTGGAGCGGTGATAAGGCAAAAGCAGCTCTGAAGCGCACAACTTCGGATTACTTTCTCCTTCAAGGTGAGGACCTGAAGTGGAGCCCCCAGTGAGGGCTTTGTCTTTGAGGCTTCTGGGCATTTGCCCTGAGTTGAGTCCCTCATTAGCTGTTCTCAGTGGTCAGCAAAGTGTAAAGTGGGTAGAAATGAGACCCATTGTTGATCTCTGGTATCTTTCTTTCTTTTTTTTAACGATTTATTTATTTATGCATACAGAACTGGGGTACAGGCCAGAGGTGCAGGGGCAATGAGAAGATTCACCAGAGACAGGGTGGGGAGCAGAACAGGCTGACTGGCAAAGTACACTGCTGAGGGGAGCAGCAGACAGGTCAGGAGAGGCCTGCCACGCCAGGTGGGTCACCTCCGGGGTGGGTATCGAACTCATGCTGAAGCTGCATTAGCTTCTTAGTGCTGCGCTTTAACCTGCTGTGCCACCAGGGAGGGACCCAGGTTTCTTTTTTTTTTTTAAGATTTATTTATTTATGTATACAGAACTGGGGTACAGGCCAGAGATCCAGGGGCAGCAAGAGGATTCACTAGAGACAGAGTGGGGAACAGAACAGACAGATCTACTGAAATCTACTGCTGAGGGGAACAGCGGGGAGACGGGAGAGGTCTGCTATGCCCTGTGGGTCAGCTCCCTGGCCAGGGATCGAACTGGTGCTGTAATGGTTGCAGATAGCTTAATAGTGCTGAGACTTAACCCCTTGTGTCACCAGAAAGTGCCCACATACAGGCATTTTAAAAGGCACAGACGTGCTCAAGGCCTGTGGCTATCCCTTCCCTCAGGATCCCATCCTTGAGATGAGAGGTAAAGGCTACTTCTTTGGAAGCATTGTGGCACCAGATGTTGCTGTGCCATCAACTTACAGGGGTGGAGGGGCTGAGGATCATATGGAAGGTGAAATAACTTTAATATTGTGACTCGTATGGCAGGCACAATTCTTTAGAACAGGAACTTTAGAGTTAAAACAGACTTGGCTTTCAGTGCTGGCTCTGCCGTGTTCTGAGATAGATATGAGCCACTATCATGAGTCCCTGACACCCCTCACAGCCCCACTGTGCTGGACTGTTAACAGCATTTGCCTCAGAGGGCTTTGGTGAGGCCTTGACAGTACAGATGCATGGTTCTAGCACACAGCATGTCTTATAGACCCGTGTTCTGCATGAGGTTGTGTTTGGGGGGGTTTCAGCACTGAGTGTGTACTTGGCAACTATAGAAGTTACAGGATTGGCTCAATTTCCCCTAAATTCCATACTTGAGTAGGTGTTATCATAGCAGCAGTGTTGGGCTTTCTTTCTCTGCCTGTGACAATTTGTTGATAATACAGCATATGTTTGCTTCTCTCTCCTAAATGGTACTAATTATCTTTCAAGTTTCAGAGCTTTCGATTTAGTGATTAAAGCTGTATGTTCATTAGTTCATTAGTTAACTGTCATAGACTTTTTTTTGTGAGAGTGAAAGCCACACACAATAAAATGTACCATCTCAGCCCTTTTACACATATGGTTCATTCTGTAGTAGTCACACACCATCCAGCCAAGGAGGGTAGAGAAGGACTTCCTGCTCCTCCCCTAGCCCTGTTTTGTGGCAGACATGGCTGAAGGAGCCTTACTGTTGGCTGGCGCACCTAAACCATCAGGCCACTTCCCAGACCCTCGAAGTCTTTTAAACAGTACTGCCTGTGGTCAGTCTCTCGCTTGGCTTGCAAAATGAGCCCACTTATTAATTGTAACTAGACTTTACAATAAGAATGAGGCCTAAAAGGGAAGTGACTCACCACGACTATGTAACATGATTTTAGGTTTGAACAGTAGGTCTCCTACGTACTGTTCCCTCATACCACATTCTCTGTTCACCTGCTCCTGTAAGCGACACAGCCTTTCTCGGTAGCAGGTGACAAGTCCTGCATTCCCTCGTGTGTTGCCGTGTGCACGTGCCTGGTGATGTTTGTGCTCTCTTCTGGAGTCTGCTGTCTTTCCAGAGGTGCTGCAACTAGAACTCCCAAGGAGCATTCCAAAAGCAGCGAGCTTGGGAGGCGTTGCTTTCTGGGAGTTTCTCTTTCAAATTTAAGGTACTACTGTCTGCGGGACTAAGATTCTGAGGCAGAGAGAAATGTTTCCTGTGACCTGTCCCTCAGAACTCCCTGCTTGTATTAAGCTGACTCTTCATAGGTGTAGCATTTTGTTCTGGAATATATTCAGAGAAATGCTTGTTTCAGTTTTCTGCTTGCCATTCATATAGACTGAATTTTTTAAATACTTTGACATCATTGGATTTTTTTCAGGAGAGATAGTGGCTTCCTCATGTGAAGTTGCCTTCTGCCATTCCATATGTGAAGTTGGCTCTCAAATCTCTTTGACCTGGGACAAATAAATAGGTCATCTTGCCTGTCTTAAGATTTAGTTTCTAAACCTATAAAATACCAAAACTAAGCTGTGCTGTCTTTAAAATCGCCTTCTTAATAGTGAATAGCACTTCCTTCTTGTGTCTTATGTTTCTTATTATCGCTTTTGTATATACTTTATTGAAATATGATTTGTACCCAACAAGTCACCCATTAGATTTCTTTTACAGTTACAGAAACTAATCAAGCAGAATATCCTTCAATAAGTCCTGAGGTTTGATGTTAAACTGTCTTTTTGGGCAGTCTACCATACCAGTCAGTGAGCAGTCTTGACTAGAGCAGTGGGCAGTTTCATGATAGAGAAAAAGCCTAGGCGGGCCTCCCTGGTGGCGCATGGCGTAAAGCCTCAGTACTGTAAAGCTGCTGTAGCCACTGCAGCACGAGTGACCCACAGGGCGCAGCAGACCTCTCCTGTCTCCCCGCTGCTCCCCTCAGCGGTTTATTTCAGTAGCTCTGCCTCTTCTGCTCCCCATTCTGTCTCTGGTAAATCCTCTCTCCCTGCACCTCTGGTCTGCACCCCAGTCCTGTATGCATAAATAAATAAGTAAAATAAAAGAACAGAGGAGCCTCACAAGGTTGAACAAGGTGTGATTTGCTTAAAATCCACACTTGACTTTATAGGTAGGGCTTTAAAATTTAAAAGAGACCATGAGGTATGGATTGTCTCTGTGAGACACCCCTTTAAGGGATGTTGTTCAGTTTCACCTCAGGAAACCGGCACCACCACTGTGCACCCTGCTTCAAGCTCGTATTATAAGTCACCAAGGGCATTGGAATTCTGACCCAGACGGTCATTTTTTTTTTCACCCATAAGAAACATTTGATTTTTTTTTAACTGAAAAAATACCATTGTAAAAAATTTTCAAATGGTTCATAAGGATGTAAAAAGTAACTTTTCTTTATTAAATCCTTCCTATTCTCCCAGTTCTCCAGGAAACTACATTAAGAATTTCTTGAGGATATTCTTGAACCATGACTAACATTTATAATTGTGCTTGTGTGTGTGTGTGAGTGAATTGATGGCAGTTTTTCATTTGATGGCCTGTGATGTGGGAAGATTCGTAGCATAATACAGTGTGACCCACCTGTCCTGTTGGTTCGTGCTGTCCTGTTCCTTGTGGTGCATTGTCACATTGTGACCAGCCACCTCTTGAAAAGAATGCTCCCAGGCGCTTTCTGTTTTTCCCAGTCCTTGCTTGGCTCACAGAGCCTTTCTAGGAACATGACTAATGCCAGCTGATGCCCTAGGAGGCTAGTGGGGACAGGGTGCCCGGCGTGGTGCCTGCCCAAGAAGACCTGCACAGGCCAGGCTGTCTCCCTGCCTGATGGAGCCCGTGGAAAGCGTGCAAAACACGTGGGGCTGGTTGGTGCTGCCTGGGACTTTGCTCTACCTCAGAGGAGAGCCACATGCCTACTGGCGCCCTGGTGGGTCCTCTGGCCTTCATGCTCCCCACGCACCACCAGGCTCGATGCCAGCTTTCCCTGCTCCTCACATGCGGGTGTTTCTTGTTGCCACACTCCCAGTTCTGCCTCCTGTGAGGCAGCTACCTTACTGGTCAGTGCGTGTTTGCCTTGTTCGGGTGTTGAGTGTTTTTCCAGTTTACTTAGTAAGATAGTGGCCAGACTGAATATTTCCTGCTGCATTTTTCCACTATCTTGAGAGCCGGCCTTGCTATGTGTGAGCAAAAGGTCTCATCTTTTTATTATTCTCCCATGGCATGTTGCAAAACATTAAGTGTGAGCTGATTTCCTGTGGCAAAAAGTTGACTTTGATTTGTTCTTTTTGAGGTTACAGTGAGTTTATCATAACAGGAGTGCTAAAAATAATTTGGTCGAGCATGGAAACAGCATTCGGTCTCCACTCTGAACAATAACATGCAGGTTTAGTCCAGAGTAGGAAGAAACGGACTTCACCTCAAAATGAGAGTCTCTCAGCAGAGAACCCTTGGCAATCTTCGTATGTCAGTTGCTGTTCTGATGAGTGGTGGAAAAATACTTGGGCCATTTTTGAGCCATGGAATTAAAGCTGAAATAATCTCAGTCCAAATACTTCTTGAGCACCTGCCATGTGCCATATCCCATGCCTGGGATTCTCAGAGGCAGAAGAATAAGTCTCCTTGACAATGAAAAAAGACAAGCAAATGATTCTTGTTGTGAACAGAGCTGTAACGGGGGTCTTGAGAAAGCCCTCATATTGTATTGAGCCAGTTTTCACTATGTGTGATTCCGTAATAATTAAAAACTTACAGGAGCTCAAGGAACAAGGACCGTCTCTTGGGAGTTGGGAGGCGGAGACTCAGAGACGGAGACACCCAAGGTAGATTTGAAAGAGCAGGTACCTGCTAGGTAGTAAAAGAAGTAAGACAGTTGCAGGCTGAGGAGAAGCTTGTACACGCAGCAGCCTGCATTTTCACGCGCTGTGCCGACCGTCACTGTCATACGTGGTGGGGCCACCTGCGGTGACATGTTTTTGGACCCTAACTTTGAGGCTTCAATTCTTCTGGCCTGTGCTTCCCCAACTGGTAGACTAGCAGAATCAGTTAGGGAACCTTGTAACAATACAGACTCCCTGGTTCTAACCCAAATCTATTGAAACAAAATATTTCTGTGGGAACGG